TCTGGTTCCTACCCAGAACGAGTCGTCAATGGGTAGGTTCCAGTTCCAAATTTTTGAAACCGTTACTGTGCGGTTCCGGTTCCAGTTCCGGTTCCGGTTCCTATAGTTAGGAACCGGAACCGGAACCAGGAACCGAGAGTAATATAAAATAAAATTAAAGATTAGGGGGGTTAATAAAAACTTTTATAAAAAAAGTAATGTGAATACATTTATATTTATATTTCATAACATTTAAAGTAAGTTAGTTTGACTTTTGAGAATCTATCTTTACAAAGTAATGGAGTTTATAATTTTGAATTTATAATTTGTAATTTTATTTTTGTTAATAAGTGCCAGGTGGGGGGGTATTTGTAAGTTTTTAAGGGTTTTTTTGCCATTTTAAAAACTTTTGGGGGCTCAGTAATTTTACAAGGTACCCAGAACCGGAACCGGAACCGAAACCGTTGTTACAAGTTCTGGTTCTGGGTATCTAGGAACCGGAACCGTCGTTCTGGTTCTGGTTCCAAATTTCAAGGAACCGTCGATTCCGGTTCCGGTTTCGATTCCTTCAAAAAGTACAGGGTACCCAGAACCGAACACCCCTAGTTGAAAGCCTCTGCGTACTTTTATAATGAAATTAAGATTACTTGACAACGATCCGCAACTGACATTTAATAACATCACAGGAGGCAATGGTGAAGGATACGCTTGAACGGGCTAGAGAACCGACTCTAAATATAAAAGATTATCTACAGGATGCTTATGTACATCCTGTTTTCAAGGGTGGTAACTCTGAGAGGCCACAGATTGCTGAGGAGGAGCGTAACAGTCCACTTGTTTCTACAAGAAGGAATAAGAGTAGTAGTAAACCTTCTTCCGAGTCTAGTTATTCAGCTGGTCACTGATATATATATATATATATATATATATATATATACACGGAAATTATTCTTGCTCTCATTGATTTCCAGCATTGCTTCCAGATCAGCTTGCACATACAACTGGAAAAAAGAAAGGTCAGCTCCCGTTCATTTAATTGCTTACACAGTGAATAAATATATTGGAGATGAGTTTGCAAAGTGCAAGCTTGAGAGAGAAATGATAGTAAGAGAAGTCCAATGGATTTTATAGATAGCGACTTCGTTTCATTGTTTTATTTTTGCCAAAGTGTTCTTTATATAGCAATTTAATTCTTTGAGTTAACAATACACATTTTGAACATAGAAGATGCCCATGGAGGCAGAAAAACTGTGATAATAATTACAGTTTTTACATTGTCACCTTACAGTTTGGTGTATAATTTTAGGAAATTAACACCAATACTATCAAATTTAAGGGTTGACAAAAACATTTTGTTCGTCCTAGCTTGTTTTGGGTCGTGCTTTTTTGGATCCATCTCGTTTAAGTTGTAATTCTTTATTCTTTATAAAATTATCTGGCGACATATTTATTTTTTTGTGAGTAAACGACATATTCCCACCCAAGGTTTGATAAAATCCCAGGTGAGTACCACAGGTTCCATTTATTCCAGATTTCCACCCTTAAAGTAACAGTGTTATGAACTTTTAGGGTTTAGGACGTGCAATTACCATAATGCCCCTTAACCCTAAATTAATAAATTATGTTTTAACCCCTAATTTATTAGAATTATAAAACTTACTATTTTATTTTCAAATTATATCAAAAACACCCCCAGTCATTACACACCCTCATCGGAAACAGCCCGATTTGGGCTGTTTCCGACGACGTCGAACGTCCTGGTCACTCCATCACCTTCCCCGTATTCCATCGTCCAAAACCCCTCTAATTCCCGACTCATTTGCCCCTCCAATCGCCGGCACCGTTAGACTTAGGGTTTTGATGTTCTTCACCGGATTCCGGCGGTGAAAATCCAATTGGACACCACCAATGAAACCACCGTATCCAGATCTATAAAATCCCCATGTCCCCAGCAGCCGTCTCGTCGTCATTCGCCGGCCGAGAGTTCGTGTTCTTCGGCCGTTTTTCGATGAAGCGGTGGACGGCAAACTGTGAGCTGCCGTGGCTGGAAACGTTAGGGGTTTTGTAGGGGAGGATTGGAGGAGTCAAATGGTGGTGACAAGGGTGATTTTGGGTGGAAAAATCGCCGGAAAAAGAGCGAAAAAGTTTACTGGCGGTGGTCTGCTAACGTGCGCCGGAGGACTGTTACAGGCGGTGGTCTGCTAACGTGTGCCGCCTATGTAAAATGACCAATTTACCCCTTTACCGTTATATCAAACGTTTTTCCGTCACTTTAAGGGTGGAAATCTGGAATAAATGGAACTTTTGGTACTCACTGGAGATTTCATCAAACCTTGGGTGGCAATATGTCGTTTACTCTTTTTTTGTTCAAATAGCTTTTTAATCAAACGGTTTCATTTTTATATTAGAATTACGTACTATTAAAACAGACAACCAAAACTTCTAGCTAGTCGTTCAAAATTGCACCTTCGTTTGTCAAGAAATGACCGAAATTTATTCTAAATATCATTTATATCCCTTGAACTAAAAAAATCTCTATTCGGGGTGTTAGCATTAGACTCCTATAGTTGGAGGAAAGTTTTTGTGGACCTCAGGGGTTGGTTGCAATTGAATCCTATTAATAACAATTTGATAAACCTTCTTTTAATTAAAAAAATATTTGATATTTGATGTCTATATATATATAATCACTTGATAATAATATTTCAAAAAAACTATTTTAAATACACAAGTTTTTACCTGATTTTTTTATTTAAAACTTGTTGATACGTAATTTTGACACCAATAACTAGCACGTACAAAGTGCTAAGCTCTACTTAGAAATTACACGTGAATAATTATAATTGGATACAAAGATTGAATAATAAATAAGAGATATGATTTTTAAAGTGGTTCAGATACTTAAAGCGAATCTTATGTCTATTATTTCTTTTATATATGAGAGATCACAAGAGGTCGCGTATAGCGAACAACGAACAAAGGTACAATGATTGAGTATTTAGAGAGAATATCAAGCCAGTCTCTTTCCCATACGTTATCTTTGTTCTGAAAATAAAGATTACAATTAGAATGGGGATTTAGTCTCAGAATCCTGAAAATGAGAGAGGGATACCTCTATTTATGGTGGAAGAATTCAAGATAATGATTACAAATCTGCAAGTGGGTAGGTGTCGTGCAAGTCTTTTCTTGCCTCTCATTAGCTGATAACTTGAAAAATATTCTTAAATTACCTGGGACTTGGATATATGTGCGGTCATCGGTCACTCATAGATAAAACCTGAATCTGCTAAGTTGATGAGAACCATATTTTTTCTGTCATGGAGCAACATGATAGCTCCTGGACGATATAAAATCTTTTTAAACTCCGATTGGTATTTGCTGTCCTAGGTTAACGCCGGCCTTGAATTTTAGGCATAACAAAACTATAGCCTGAATACATTATACTTAATTGTAATAATTTGAATTATTGATAAGTGAGTTTGTAATGATGTTAAAATAATAATAAAAAATTGTATGAAATATCTAAATTCCCGGTTTGATTTCTATATATATGCTATATAATAATATAATACCACTCATTAACAATTAACTATTAATAAGAGCCCTACACACAAATTAATTAATTAGCATAATATGCTGTTGGATAATGTTATCTCACCTGGTCATAATCTTATTCAGTTTTTTTTAGAGTAAACGGCTTTTTCGCACCCAAGGTTTGCCTTAATGATCATTTCCACCAAAAAAGTTTTAAAATATCACTTTTCCACCTAAAATTTATATTATGTTAATACCTAAAACCGATTATGGCCGTTGTTAGCGGTAAAAATTCTCTCTGTCACCACCATTTGAAACTCTGGTCTCTTCTCTACAAAACTCCTCTCACTCTAGCACTTGATTTTTCGCCGATTGTTGGCTACCGCAAAGCTAAGGTTTCCTATTCTTAGTTGATTTCCGACTTATCCTAAGAACGAATATTCAATCGGTCATCACCATTCGATCCATCGACCTCCACTCTACAAAACCTCTCTTACCCTGGCTCCTAGTAATTCGCCGAATGCCAGTTGAGAAAGTGAAGTGTATTTTGGGTATTATCGAAAGAATAATACTACACATACAACATTCATCTACAACATTATGTAGCAAAAGATGATTGGGTGAAAGTTTAATTTTAATTTAAAATCAACCAATCATATTTTTCCACGTAATATTGTATGAGAAATGTTGTATAAAAATGTTACATGTGTAATATTACTCCTATTGGAATATAAACATTGGGTGAAAAAATGGTATTTTGAAACTTTTTGGGTGGAAAAGTGTCATTTAGGCAAACCTTGGGTGGGCAAAGGTGTTTACTCTTTTTTTTAACGCCTTTTTTTTAGTAAAACCCATGTGCTTGGTCTTTTTTCGTGAGCACTCGTTAGTTTCGAAAATATGTATTAATCCCATATATTTGGCTTTTTTATTGTGAAAACATACTAGTTTAAAAAATGTGATCTTAACTCCCATGTGTTTGACCTTTTTTGTACTGAGTATCCACTAGTTTCGAAAATGTTATCAATTCAACCTTCAAATTTATTAACAATTTCATCCATTTAACCTCCAAAATGAAAAAATATATTAACCTCTCAGCATTATTGACATCTTTTAAATGTTAGATTGATAAAATTTAAGTGAATAGTAAAAACACATTTCCTTCAAAAATGGAGGTTAGGATTGCAATTTCGAAACTAACAGGTACTCACAATCAAAAAGGCCAAACATACAGGGTTAGGGTTAAATTTTCAAAACTAACAGAGTGCTCATAAAAATACCAAACATAGGGGGGTTTGCTATAAAAATCCCTTTTTTAATTAGGATAATCGGATTTACATGGAATCCTTATTTATAAAAAAAATATATATATATGGTAAAGCTAAAAGTCGAAACGCATCGTTTTGGTCCCGTCTCTGTTCTCATTCGAGGTTGGTTCTGGATCAGTTAATTTCCATCACAGAGACAAGAAACAACACACAGTGACAGAGATGAAGCTCTCTCTGAAACTCCAAGATGATTACAAACAACAGACTCAAAACCCCCCTCTCCTAAAGGCTAAATTACCCATCTCCATTTTCAACCAACCCTTCACTTCTTCACTCACAACCGCCACAACCGCCACTCCCAAACACCTCTCCTTCTCTCTCTCCACCAACTTCTCTTCCGGCCCTTCTTTCAGATTCACCTACACACCCGTCTCTTCAAATACAACGGCAGCCTCAGCTGCCCCTTTCTCCGTCTCTCTCAAATCGGGCCTTGGCTTGTTTGGTTCGCCTCATGATTCTCCTCTTATCTTCTCTGCCCACTTCTCTCTTTCCTCCACCAACCCCTCAACTATTTCCCCTACCTTTTTGCTCCATTTCAAGCCCCAATTTGGTCACTTTTCGCTGCATAAAACTACTTCCTCTGCAAACCCTAACCCTAGAAATTTGGGGTCCCGCTCCGGTTCTGCGGCCAACTTGCAATCTGGTTCTCCTCCGAATTACCATTTTGCAAGTGGGTCGGTTGTGCATGAGGCTTTGGGTTGGCAAGATGTGAAATTGGAGCCGTGTAGTACGAGTGAAAATGGGTTTGGTAATGCGAAGCCTAGCTTTTTTAAAGGGGTTGGTTCGGGTGATGGAATTGGGTTTGTTAAAGAGAGGATATTGGAGATGAAAGATGGTGAAAGAGGTGGACTGTTGGGTGGAATTTCTGTAAAGGCAAAAACTGTGTTGCCTGTGACGAAAGGGTTAAAGGCAAATTTGAGGTGGGGAGTGAATTTGCCGGCGAATTCAGAGGTTAGAATGCCGTATTTAACTGTGAATAAGATTGGGATTGAGAGAGTTGAAAAGTTAGAAGAGGTGAAGAAGATGAATTCTGAGAGTAACGTGGGTGATTTGGAGTTGTTGAAGGGAATGTGTTTTTGGATGAGCAGAGATTTGGAATTATTGGAGAAGGAAAACAGGGACATGAAACAATGTTTGGAGGATATGAGAATGGGAGTTTCCACGAGGAGTTATCGTGGAGTAAGTGATAGTATTGGGAAGAAGGTCTTTCCATCTTCAAGTGAGGGTTTCTCTGAGGCAAGGGGTTTTAATGGAGTCAGTGATAGTACTGGGAAGAAGGTGTTTCCATCTTCAAGTGAGAGTTTTGGTGAGCTTGAGAGGCGGAGCAGGAAGAATGGCGAAGGGAATGGCAAAACAGAGGCGAAGAAGTCTGTGAGTCAGGCTAGTGATTTGGAGTCTGAGTTGCAGAAAGCTATTATGGCTGCTGCTTCCTCTTAGCAAGGTTTGACATATTTGCAAATATGCTATTTCTTGGCGGTCTCCTTATAATATGTGTATATAATTGAGCTCTTTTTAACTTAAATTATGTCACAGACTTGGTTGTGTCTATTAGAAAGCTTGGAAATCTATTCCATGATCCTCGGCTATACATTTGATGCATATTTGCTTTAAGTGCTTATATTTCAAGACTTGATGGCAATTATGTTTTGAGCATCAACTTTGTTGCGGAACTTATTTGTATTAGTCTTTAGAATAGCTCAGCTCAGTGGGCTATTTTGCTTTATATCTTAATTAGTTGATTCACATTAGTCTGAAATAAGATCATTTCAACCATATGTGCATCTTCTGTGGTTCAAAATGGACGGATGATGCGGCTTGTAGTTCTGTGAGGCGCATTAATCTATAAGTTTAAGCATAGGCTTCATTCACTCTCTCTCTTGCTCTCTCTTAAAAATGGAAAGTTTATATGGCATTGATATTGTGATCGAGTTCAATGCAACTGAGCTGGAAGAACTGCCTTTAGAATCCTGTAGGTGTTGAAGATTTTACTACATCAAGAGTTGTTGGCTCACTTAAGAATGTCAAAAATAAATAAGAAACTAAAGATCACTCATAATTCTGCCCCATCTTCTTCAACTAAGCAAGTCTCCGGCATCAACGTATGCTATTGCTGCAGCGAAATTTAGGATAGTTTTCAGGCAACTGAAATACCGAGCAGGAAAAAAACTAACTTATATGCCAGCATGAAAAGTTGCTTGGTTTAAATAAATTGCAAATGATTCAGCATTAATAGTGTGTTATTTGTCACTTGGTTACCGTATTTCAGAACAGATTATTGAATATTAATGGCCCTACTGAGAGGAACAATGCTATTGCAAAATTGCAAACTAGTGCTTGATGTGCAGAAAGGATGGTCTTAGCTAGTCATCTTTTGTCGCATGGTCCAATTGCTTGGGGCTTCTAGGTTGCTTTGGTGCAGAGTGAGTGTGCTATTTGAGCTCAGCCAACAGAAGTTTTGGTGTAGATGGCTCATGGCTGAATGTAAGATAAAGTTGAAATTCTGATTTTAGATTGTGCAGCCCACCTCTGAAATTTGCTCACTCTCTTTGAAAACATGTTAAAAGAAAGTAATTGTGAAATGCTCACATTTAAGAAGTATTAAATTGCCATTTACTTGAGAGGATTTGAGGTAAAGATAATGTTTCATGCTTTTTTTCTAACTAAGAAATTAGGAAAATGGCATGGTTAAGGTAATTATCGATTTGGCCATAATGTTTTTCTCAAAACAAAGAGAAAAGGGACAGAAGTTTGAAAATACATTTTTCAGAAACTTACATAGAAGGAAACAAAACTTGGTCAGATTCTAATATATTTAACGTTTGGTAAGGGTAAATGTTGAAAAATGTTAACAGGATAATGCAAAAATTCTGATTTTAGATTGTCCAAATATCTCCTGTTATGGAATTTGAGTCCTGTTCTTCTGACTTTAGTTTCATGAAAATCTTTGATAAGGCTTAATAGGATAAAATGAAGAAAAAGGTTACTGCTATTTACCCCCGGACTCAAGAAACTCCTTTAGAACCCTCAATTATCAGAAACTACCATAAGACCCGCCGTTGATTTCTTAGTTAAGTTTAACGGGAATAAGGAAAAAAAGACATCTACTGAAGAGATAGACAAATATTTTAAAAACTTAACCGTTAATTAAATTATGAGATATTAAAAAAAAAAAAAAAAAAAACCTAAAACCTAGAGTTATTAGATCCTCTTGATTTGGTAAAATTTCGGCGGATCAAAGTTATAAAAAAAAAAAAATCCTAGTTGTTGGAAACAAATTCGATAGTTGCAATCTATTTGGTTACGATTTGGAGCACCAGGATCGCATTGATCTGGAGTAGTAGATCACATCGTGACATATTTGTTGCTTTAGATCCATCGCAACCTAGGGTGTTTGTCCACCATGATTTGGGCTGTAGCAGATCGGGTGAGATCACAAAGCAATATTCCCATTCTTCTGCCACGATCTATAGTTAATTTTACATTTTTAAAAAAAAAATTCTACTATTTTGGTTGTTATAGTGTTTTTTTTTTTTTTAATTTACAAAAAATTTGGAATTTGGTTTTATTTTGAAAAAGTTTTATTAGAACATTTTATAGTTTACATATTTTTATTTTTGGAATTTTATATTTTTATATAAATTAACAATAGATATTTCTTAAAGATTTTTTTTCAAATTATTTGAAATATTTTGAATTTTTTAAAAGTTTTTTATTGCTAAAAAAAATAATGAATTATAATGAAACTTCAAGGGCAAATTGGACATTTGCATGGTCAAAGAGAGTCAACATCGATTTTCATTGAAGAAACTAACGGCAGGAGGTCTCTAGTAGTTTCTGATAATTGAGGGGGCCCCTTGTAGTTTCTGTAGTCCCAAGGTTACAAATGGTATTAACCCAATGAAGAAAGCTAAATCTCGCTAGTATATTGAAATAATTTATAATTGATTCTTAAGAGAAAACTAGATTTGTTTAAACTTGAGAAGAAGAGCTTAAAAGGAATTTAAGTTCATTCAAAGATGGAACAACAATGGATCTTTTATAGCTATGAAACTCACCGTTTTTAGCTGTGGAGAAACTTGGCCCGTGAAAAAGTTAGGGTTTCTTCATACTCCGATTGGGTTGGACCGAATAGATCCTTAGATAAAAGATTTTATAATACTATCTAATATCTAAAAATTGAAGAATTAAGAATAAAATAAAACAAAAGATTACATATTTATTCAAAGTTTAATGATTTTATTAAAAAAATTGTCTTTACAAATCATAAAATACAAAAATAAATTTGATATTGAATATGGAGTTAATTTATTGGATAATATTTCATGTATAAACCTTTTATACAAACTGATGTATGTTAAGATGATTGAATGATTTTAAATTAAAAACAAATTAAATAATTAAAGAAGATTATATGTTAAACGGATAGGGTTGTTATATCAGTTTGTAGGAAACAATTTGTATATAGAGTTTGTACAATTTGTATATAGAGTTTCTATACGTATAACACTACTTCAATTCAGTTTTCCCTTGTTCCGTTAAGATTATGTCATCTTCTTAACAAATTTTACACTTAAGCATGCAATAAATTGTTATATTTCCCTTGTATTAAATAATGAGAAATTATATCATATGACACTATTTTAGGGGTGGAGTTGAAATGTAGTACTTTTTGAAAGTTTCTCACAATATAGCAAAATGGCATTATACGTTATTTTTACAGATGAAAATACCCCTATTCAGAAATTCTTAAACCTTTAACCAAAACCTATTCTTCAACCTTTAAAACCCATCTAAACCCATTCTTCATAACTACAATCGCTACCAAATCAAAGGATATTTATGTAGACGGGTGGTTAATATTAGTTGTCTAGGTTAATTTTTATTAAGGATGTTGAAAATCGAAGGATTTTGATGTTTTTGACGAAACTTGAGAACCTATCAGAGGGTATTGGTAAAATGTCGAAGATTTTACTACATCAAGAATAGTTACTTTATTCAATTAAGAATTTCAAAAATACAAGAGAAATTAAACATGCAATACCCATAATTCTTCTCCATTTTCAATTAAGCAAGTCTCGGCATCAACCTATATTGTTGCTACAACGAAGTTTAGTATATTTTTCAGGCTTCTGAAATACCAAGCAGGAAGAGAACAAAATGGTTTTTGCAAGCTTGAAATGTTTCTAGGTTTAAATAAATCGCAAATGATTCAAACATTAAGTAGCTAGTAGTGTGTTATCTTTCACTTGGTTGCCGTATTTCGAAACAGATTATTGAATATTAATGGCCTTACTGAGAGGAACAATGCTGTAGCAAGCTCGTGGTTGATGTGCAGAAAGGATGGTTTTAGCTAATCATTTTCACTTGCATGAAGTGCTTTGTTCTATTGGTGCTTTTTCTTTGAGTTGCTGGATTAACCTTTTTTTTTTTTTTTTTAATGATCGGGAGTGTTCAGACTAACTTATTTATGTGCACTTCAACTAATCTTACGATACCTTGGAACTACCGATTGAATAAGAGTTCTAGTGACTATCTCAATTTTACATATGTTTTTGGGTCAATTCTCTGTCTTAGATTAAAAAAAAAAAAAAATCCCGACTATGTTGTTTGATGGGATAAATTAAAGATGAAGAAACAACAATGATTTAGAGTGAAAGAACAATAATATTATACTTACAAAAAAATCTTACAAAAATTTCTATACAAAGTAAGGTGACAAAAAATGAATAGAAGAGTAAAATAAAAAATCAAACTTATTATATTTACTATTCTATTCATTTTTTATCACATCACTTTGGACGAAGATCTTTGTAAAAATTTTTTATAAGTGTAACATTACTCCTGAGATAAAGGCACTAGAGGAAGGTAGCCAGGAGGGAAGTCAAAGCAAGAGTTGCATCTGTAAGGATATTATTATGTTACTTGCATTTGCAAAGTCTCCTATTATGGATTTTGAGTCCTTGTCTGCCTTACTTTTTCATGAAAATCATTGATAAGGCTAAAGCCTAAATCTCACTGGAATATGATTGTTGAGAGAAAACTAAAAAGAATCTATACAAATTATAAATTACAAAATATAAGATTAAATTTCCCCTAAAGCTATCATATACCTTTAAGTGAATAATAATTTATTCCATCATCTGACTAACATATATTCTATATTTAATATTAAATTTAAACAGCGAAACCCTAACAAAATTATTATTTTTAGATACTCAAGGTTGAAATTACTGTAAAACTCTAACAAAAGAATACTATTATACTCACAACAACAGGTAAATTAATTTTTATCCTTGAGGTATCTAATTCATTGAAGGGTCCCTGGACTGTCAAACCATGCATGGATTATTTTAACATAAAAATTGTTTTAAATTAATATTAGTTACATGTTCTTCTTTAATACGAATTAAATAAAAAATAAAATCTTTGATATAATA